TAACTTCCACTGAATGGGATGTATATCAGTGACTCAAAGAAAGGGTAAGTAGGTGTTTACAAATGTAATAGGCACATGGATCAATTTCTTCTAATTCAAGCAAGAGATTTGTTAATTGAGAAATTATCTGACAGTGAACCTTCTGAAACTTTTCTACCAACAGGTCCTTCTGCAAAACAATAAAACCTTCTCCTGATAAAGCTTATTTAGCGCTTTTTCTCACAATGTCCTTGGAAATGACTGCTTCATAAATAGTCTCTCAGACACGTAGCATGCCAGTTATTGAAGAAATTTAATATCTCGCCCAAGAAAACTGAAGCCTTTGGGTTCTGGCATTATGGGCCGGGTATAATTGGGACATGCACTTCAACTACCAAGGATACAATTTTAGTGCCATTTAGGTCGTGATCTTACAGGAATTTCCTCTGTAAGTATGGGATGAGCTTTCTTGAACAGAAAGGTTTTCCAGAGATATGAAGTTTTCATTGTAACAGCAGCTCTGTAGGTTTTGAATGAATTGATTAAGTATTTCTAAACCTTGTCTTGTGAACATACTGATGACTAAGAAGAAGAGCTAAAAGCTGATTAAATGTGACAGTTGGGAGTATTCAGATAGGGACTCAAATATGTCCATCTAAATAGTCTTGACAGCAGCTTTTGCCTACCTTTTTTTTTTTTTTGTAATATCTGCTTTGATCAACCTCTCCAGTGAAACTTTTAGTAATTTCTATGATGGAAGTATTTAGAAGCTGGAATTCCCCTGCACTGCTCTACGAAGTCAAGTGTTTCACCTGCACATGACAAATGGGATCAATAAATGCTATTTCCTGTCTCAGTTCCAAAAATTATAAGTTCACCTAACAACAAAAAAACCCTCCCCTCTTGTTCAACTAAGGCTTGTGTTCTTATGCAAAGGCTGTTATCTGCAGGTCTCTAAGTCAAGCTGACCCAGTTCTTCACGAGTTCTGTCATTTTCTAAATACACGGTACAGATTTCTTGTCAGTTCATCCAATTTTTGCATATATCTGGTTCAGTAAATGGAGAACTAAAAGAATTGTCTCTCTTAAATGAACTAACTTAAAGAAACAACAAGAAAATTATTTTCTTCTTTTTTATGACTTCCATGGTTGAGCTACCTACAAGCATGAGGAGATGACGTTTAGTTTAAGCATTATACCTTTCACCACACAGTCTTTTGTTCACAATCTACTATACTTTCCTCTGGAGAAACTGGTACAGTTTTTGCCGTAGATGGAGTAGTGTATCTTGTAGTTAAATGGCCATATGTATATTGTTTTAGTTAAATAAGGTATTGATAGGACTACTGAAATGAAGTAACAGCATTTGTACACTGAGTTTTTAAAACCTGTTTTCAGGTATGCCCCCTCATTGTCAGTAAGCCAGGAACTAGAGCGAAAACTTGGTATGCTATCAGCGTGTTATTTGCACTTCTCTGCTGAAAAGGGGCCATTCAGATGTTAAACTGGATGCGATCTGTTTTGCACTGAATTTGATGAATGATTTAATGTCTCAAAGAACACACATACACCTAATACCTGGCACGCGTGCTCTTAGTTCCTGGCAGTAACAGGGTAGGAATACCTACTGCCAGGAAATGACTGACTTGCCATCCTGCTTTGATTCTGCAAATCCTTATCAAGATAGTGTATCCAAAGCCATGCTTGGTTTTGACCCCCTGCTGCTAATTTCTGTGCATTTGTTTCCAAAGCTTCCTAATTCTTACCAGCTGGCAGGTATAAATCCCATCCCAGTAATGAGCTAGCTTGTTTCTGTGTACAGAGCACTGATTGAGATCTTCCTCACAAATATCTATACACACAACTTGTGATCTGAGCCTAGTGTGATTACCTACAGGCTTCACAGAATCTAGTTGAAAAGGAGAAATCAAAAGTAAGAGATTCCATTGGGCAATATAAGTGCTTACAAACAAATTGTCACGTTTGTGTGAAGAATTCCCATTTACTTGTAAGAATATAGTACTCTGAAAAGACATTGTGCATCCCCTGCAAGCTGGATAACACACATTTAGCATGCAGTCATAGTCACATAACTGTGTCATTTCAAACACAGGTATGCCTATGCATGCTATCCCTGTATGATGCAAATACATGAGATATTGAGCCTTGAAGTGTCCCTGTTCTGCTCACAGTGTGCCTCAAGCCATCCTTCTGCTTTAGTGCAGAGTCAATTTATGGAGAAGGGGAAGGCCAGCAAGAGTGTTGCCTTCCTCCCCCACCAAAGTGAGGATCTATGGTCTGAAATCCAGAGAGGTGCAACTCCTGTTTCGTTGCTGTCTGAAATCTGAGCTCCTTTCTTTAGCTGAATAAGCAGCGTTGCACTGAAAACTAGAGAAGCACAAATCCCATTACATAGCACCCTGAGGCTGGGCTTCATGTTACAGATGTAACAGGCTCCTCTGCTTGTTCAGAGAAGCTGGGAAGTGCATGGTGGGGGGAAAGGGATCAGTAAGCATTGTGAAAGAGCCTCTGTGAAGATGAAAGTCTCAACAGCCATTTCCCTCAGGAAGCAAAAGACGAAATATTCTATACTACTTGCTAATTAAAAATTCAAACTGTTGCCTTATGAAAGAGAGGCTTACTTTTATCTTTAAGCTCTGAAGTTTTTAAGACTTACTCCTAACCATACTGTTAGGGATTTCTCCCTCTTGGAAAATCCTGATGTTTTTTCAGTTCAAGACTGTTCTCTGGAGTACGGGCCAGGGGTGTGTGTTCCTTACTAATTTCAAAGCCTAGGCGCTGTGTGGGCTGGCGGTCTGTGAAGGAAGCCACAGCACACCTTTAGAGCCCTCAACCTCCAAGACTCATGGTGGATAGGTTTGGCAACAGGCTGCAACTTATTCTCTGAGGTCTACTGAAGGGCTCAAGAGCATTCTCCACAGGGAACACAGATGGTGAGAGCTTCAGCGTGCTGCACATTGGGGAATCAGAGACAAGCCAGAGCTGAAATGCAGTTACTACCACAGGAAATTAATTCAAATAAAACACTGCAAACAAAACAGTGGGGAAGACGGAGCTGTCAGCCTGCCTTTAGTGGCAGACAATCCTATGGCTGGGATTGAAGCTCAGTGATCTGCTACACAGTTCCTACCTACAATGAGTTACTTCTGAGTTTATCAGAAGGACAGTATCATCTCTCAGTGATGAATGAGAAGCAAAGAAGAAAGAGAAGGACTATATCAAGTACTAGTAAGAATTTTCTCCTTCAAATAAACTTACATCTGTTGCATGCAACACTACCATTCAGAAGGTTAGGAATATTTCTTACTAACAATACACCAGAAAAGGCATTACAAAGTAAATGGACAAGCAACCCAAAAAACTATCAATGTAATTTCTATTATACTTTGGAATCAGAAGAAAATGTATTATACTTTTAACTATTGGGTATCAATTTTTAGAAGGAATACATATTGTGTATTACCAATAACTTGAGCTCATACAAGTGCTTATTCACATGCTTACTTACACACATCATGAACAAAACTCTGACAAACATACGTATCTTCTAATGTTTCTATAGTACATTATTCTGTATATTAATCACATTGCGTTATGACTTTGTCTAACTTATCTCTAATGTTAGCAAAATGTTAACAGAAATTGCTGAAAATCTTTGAGAATTTTCTCCCATGCCTATGCAGAATTTATGGACCTTGTCGTTCACAGCCCTTGGTCTCCTAGACTGGGGGACACCAGTAGCAGACTGTAAACTCTGTGTTACTATGTGGGTGGAGATACTGCTACAGTTAGTTGCTTAACTCGGCGGTTATCAACAGCGTACGATTATGTTCGCTTGAGACAGCTGCTCCTGTTGCAGGACCAGCACTGACAGCGACTGGAGGATATTAACAACATGTACTTAAGTGCCAAAACAATACAGATGAGACACAGATGAGAAAATAAGGAAATTCCACAATCATCAAGCTAGCTGAGTACTTGTCTGAGGTCAGACAGTAGATGAAGACCTGTTTGAAACTGAAGCAGTGCTTATGGCGGAGAGAAACACTAGAAACAACTTGTGAAGTCAAAAGTGAAAAAAAGTCAAGCTGCATTTGCAGCTTATGTTACAACTCTGCAGGCAATGATTTGATTTCAAGAATAGGCATTTGTTACCACCCAGTCGGTTAAGAATCAGGAAATTTGCCCTAGGACAGCAACTGTTGACCTCTCAGGCTACTACAAGGTTATTGTTCCCATCCACTACACACTGCACTGGCTCTCCAAAGAATAATGCACAAATTGTAAGATTCAGGCCTTTCCCTCACAGTATTTAAGTTCCAGGACATCCAAGAAACTGCCTCACATTCCAGAACTGTAACCCTAGTCTTTAGGCACTAAAGAACCGATCATAACCAGGACAAAACCAATTTATGTTGGAGGCTGAGCTTCCTCAGAGGCTAATTCAAGTAGGATGAACTAAGACCTGTTTACTTTTGAAGGTTAATTCCAATTGACCTAGGATCTGAATTGGTAGCAAAATCCCCAAAGTTCATTCCACCTCACTTTGGGCCACTGCACGATTTACCCAGGCTCCCTATACAGACAGTAGCAAGAGATTATCTTCAGCGAGCGATGCAGGTCATAGGAGAGCTGGTTCATCTTCACAAGATGCCAGAGACCAGTCTCTTTAAAGCAGCACCTGCCACTTTGATAATCACCTTGCTGAGCTGGCCTGCCCCTCAGTGGCTTTAAGTAAGTGGGGTGAAAGGGTGCACATAGGTATGACCTCAGGTCATATGCTAAGACAAATGGCATGAGGCATGACACAACTACTGCAGCTGTACAGAACCACAAGTCTATACCAATTTTCTTAGCAGCTGCTTTAGGAGCTGCTAAACTAGCTGGAGCTGCAAGTTTCTAGATGATCATGGCCACGTGATTTTCTACTAGTACACACTATGTGATTAGCCAACCACACCAAGTCACCTCTGTAAGACACTGTGGTAAAGGGAAAGCACAAAAAGCTTTATTAACTAGGTTTCTACAGATTACTAAGATCTTTAAGGAGCATGTTAAGTATGACAAGAGCATAAGAGGAGATAGTATAACGAGAAAGAGGTGGCTCATCAAAGGGAACATTGGCAAGGCCCTGCCCCTTCATGATTCCTGGCCTCTTAGAGCTTCCTGCTACGAACTACTGTTCTCTTCTTAGAAGCGACTCTTTCTCACGCCAACTGTTTCTCTTTCTGTTTGCTCTTCTGTGTCTGTGGAAGGAAGAAGGAAAGAAGTGGGCTTGCTGGGGACAACATGCTGTCCATACATTGTCTTCAGGGAAAGATGGAGGATCAGGAACTGTTAGGATGAAAATACCTATGGCAATTCTTTTCAAAGCTGCTCCTCCCCCTGTGGTAACCATCCAAGTGTAGTTCTTCCCTCTCTGTCTTCCAAGCTGGCTCCTTATAAGTGACTTTACTTCTTTAGTAAAATGTGCTACAATATTCTACTGGCCAGTCTTCATTAATCTTACACATTGCCCTAGTACAACAGAGAGAGAGTAAGCTGTTGTTGAGATAACTGGCTTCCATTAGCAACCATGTGATTGGCAGGACGATAAAGTCTTTTCCCTTGCAGGTCAGCTGCTTTTTAAGAAGAGGGCAATCCTGCTGATCCATCTTTTAGCTACAGTCTCTCACTGAGTCCCAAATCTCCTGCCTTTTAGCTTTGATACGGTTCAAGCTTTCCCCCTTGTATCAGCCCCTACCTGTCATCAGCTCCTCTGTACCAAACAGCCAATATCAGGAGTTTGACCTCAGGGCACAGTCCGGGTGGGCAGGTAAAACCTGACCACTGGACCTACTTCCTTATCTTTCATATCCTGCAATTCATGAAGAAGTATCAAATTCAAACTAAAAAACAGAAGCATGACCTTTTATAAGAACTTTCTGAAAAAGGCTCTGTTGCCTTTCTAAGTATTCTTGAAAAGAACTGTCATCCACACTATTAAGATAGAAATGGATCACAAATAAGGAAGAGAGGGAAAACACTGCAAATCCTTACTAAATGGTAAATGTTTTTAATGTGTGCTTGCAGTACCTTTTGGTGAGGCACGCAAAAATATAGTAAAAAACAAAACAAAACAAATATACTAGAACTATTCTACATCTACAAGCTCCAGTTGCAACCCAATAAAGAGAGTTGCTGAGACCTCTGCTGTTTATAAAGTATCTGAAATCGATTAGATTCCCATGGCATACAGAGCATCCTCTATAAAGCGTTACTTGCATCAAGAGAATTCTAAATATAAGTTGCTAACATAAACTGAGAGCTATGATAAGCAACATAATCCCTGTTCATGTGACATGCTTGACAGTTGGTGCTTAAAACATACAAAAATATTATTTATTTCCTGTAGCAAGTATGTAGACACCCTGCCCTCCTGCATAACTGGAAATCATGTTTTCCCTTGAAACAAACATAGGCCCTGCAAGGATTTATACCACTTAGGTGGATGACAGAAATGGTGCCAAAATCTCTCAATATCCTTTCCCTTCAACTAAACTGACTTAGTACAAATTGGAAGATGTTTAGTCATTTCTAACACTGATAATAAAAGGAGAATAAAAAAGAATCCAAAAGAGGGAGGCTGCTAGTCAAGGCAAGACTTGCAGTATCTGAAATCTGGCAGAGTACATCTTTACATACTGAATTCTGGAACTCCTAAGGTACAAATATCACATGAACAAATCTTACGGCCACGATCCTATATCTTCCTCATGTAGTCCACGCTTATCCCATTGTAGATACTGTTCATTGTTATATTACTGTGAGAATGTAACAGAGAACTTTACCTTGTAACTTTTTAATTTAAAAAGACACTTTAATGAAGTCCTTTCTAACTATTGGGAGAAACTGGAATACTTTTGCCTCAGGAATTTTCCCTCCTGAAATGCCTTTTCATTATCTTGCTGTGAAAAACCTACTAAATTATTAAAAGCAAAAATATTCTTACTATATAGATAACTTGGTATGGAATTCTTTCTACATTTCTCCTCTTTTCTGGTGACTTTGACAGGCTCGTAACAGTGCTGAAAAATATCACGAACATCTGCAGAAAGCTAAAGACCCTCCATGTGCAGCTAATGATTCATTTCACTATTTAAATGACACCTAGTCACCATTTTGTGAAATAATAAATCCTTTCTAAAAGCTTACTTCAAGTATGAAAAGTTTTTGAAAATGAATTTCTATGGGTGGATATAGTATAAGAATTTACAGAGAGCAGGGAAAAGAAATAACTACACGAAATTAAGATAAGTAGATTTTAGTCTGGAAAAACCTTCCTTTTGGCAAGAACTGTGGAAAAGTGCTTCCAATATTAAGGCATTTAAAATTAAATTTGATATAGAATAAAGATCAGCCAGTTGGAATAAAGCTGCTTTCTAACAGTTTAAAATAATTCTGTGTAACAAATTATGGAAAGGAAATGCTAAATAATACCATGCCCAATTCTGCTCTCCAGGGAGTAGTTTTGTAGACAGGAGCAATTGCTCAGAATGGAATCAGGCCAGCACACACCAGGGTAACATGTACACTCTTGCAAAAAGGCATCACAGGATCTTTAGAAAATTGTCAGGACCAAAATTCAATCTTATATCCATGTAACAGTACCACCAGTAGCACAGTGCCCCCTAACAACACATTGGAGAAACAGTTTTATGCTAAATTACAGGGAATAGTGCCACTAATAACACTTCAAATAACCGCTTTTCAAAACTAATTACATGGGAATGCAAAAACATGAAAGGTTCTTGAATTTAATAACTTCAGCGTTGGTCAAAAGGGGAAATTAGCAGTATAAAAAACAACAACTAGTGTCTTACTTGTCTGAGGTCGATGAAAGCTAACTGCAGGGTGTCTCCCTGGAATCCTGGCACAGGCTCAGAACTAGCAAACACTGCAAAGAAAGGTTAAAAATATTACAGATGTAGATTTTTTAAAAAAATCTAACAGAAAATCAAGCTCTATGCAATATAAATGCTAGCTAGCATTAAAATGAAATTCATTTGATAGAAATAGATTAAGCTAATAACTCACAGTGATTAAAAACAAACCAACCAACAAACAACTTTCCCACCATTTTTCCAATAATCCCAAAGAATAATACCTTTAGGAGCGTTATTAGGAATTTTACTTAAAATTCTAACCCAGTAGTAATGCTACAACCATAGAAGCCAACATTTTTTTTGGCCTGAGGTGAATGATTACTGAAGAATTTCTAAATAATGACAATTCCATGGCTGTCAACATATTTTCAAACATCTGCTTTTGTTACAGCATCCGCACTATAAAAACCCCACCTCTAGCCAAACAGCAATAAAAGACAAACACTAAGGTGGGAGTTAGTTTAATGTGTAGACGACAGGTGGAAAGCTCTACGTGCCACAGTCAGAGCAGAGCTGAAATGCCTGTTCACGCCTTTTAGCCAGCTTATCAATAACGAACTTCTGCTTTTTTGAACCCAAAAACAGTCTGTCAAAATTGGAAGGCAAAACTCTATTCAAAATACAAAAAATGGTAACACTTATGGCAATGAAAAAAAGTCAGCTATTTGTTTAAATTAGGAAATGATCAATAATTGTCAAACTTAAAAATAAATATACTTTTTGTTGTTCTTATCCCAGTCACATGCTAATAACAAAGACACCTGCAGAAACACCCACTGCCTCACATCGCCACTCAAGTTAGATATCTTACTTCAAAAGAGCTTAAGAGAATTTGTCTTATGCTCTTCAGTTAGAGCTCTTAACAAAACAAAGGAGATGTTACTGTAATAGTTTCAGAGAGGTATCATCTGAGGCAGTGAAAGGTAACATTTTTTTCCAAGTTTGAGAAACGGGTCGTTCAGTGGTAGAGGAAACAGAACATACCTATCAAAAAAATTTTCAGATCCAGTGCTCAACTCTACTGCGCCACATGGATTCCTACTAAGATTTAAAAGTAATATGAAATCCTTAATAGATTTTTTTTTTAATGGCTAGTTAGGAAATTTGGATCATCAAGTGAAAGCAACATCCAGAAAGACCTTGGTGTCTGAGCTAACATGATGGTAAAATAATGGACTCAATCATTTACTTCTGAATGTATGGTTTCAACTTAGACTAATGAATTCAGATAGACTGTTCACAAGTCTAAAAATGATTGTAAGGAATGCAATTGTAAATGAAAGTAATAAAATTTCTTACTTAAGTGGTATGAGAAGCTACTAAGACCATCTCAGAATACCTAAGAATAGCTTAGTAATAGTTGAATATAGTATCAGAGTAGCGGCTTTACCGGTAGAGGCAGAATTTATTACTTGTATTACAGTAGTGCAAAAATTTTTTATGGACAGTCATGTAATAGGAGAATAAATTAAACTGGAATATGGCTTCATTCTTGATCAACTAAAGGAATAAAAAAATAGCAATCAAACACCCTAGGGAGAACACTGTAGTGTCACAGACAAGTATTGATAACAGTTGGCAAATGCTCACTGATTACTGTATTCAAGTCTGAATTTTAAATTGTCTGGGTTTCCTACTTTGTAAGTAACACCAACTTTCTAGGGGAGTTTTCAGGGAGTTTCAATCTACCACAAAGATGCTTTTTAAATAAAAAAGAAGAAAGATAAAAAACAGTAGAAAAAGCATATCCTAAACCCAGGATTTTCTAGAGAGATTGCTTAATAATAAACTCTTTAAAAGCAGCAAAGAGAAAGCAGTCTGTACAACCACCAACCTGCAGAAGAACAAAAGATCTTCAGGCCTATGAAAGCACCCTTCTGAACATCCTAGGCTAAAGGTTTGGGTGTCTCCATGGCTGTCTTCTGCAGGTATTTCATGGCCACTGGGACCCCGCTTTCTTCAGGGACAGAGGGGCCTATGATGGTGGCTCCTGTGGTCAGCCAATATAGCGTTTAAAATGGGAACACCATACTGTAGCAGGGAGTTCTTAGCAATGCCCCATAGCAAACAGCTAAAAAGGGATACATGGGTTGTGAGCTATGGCAGCACACTAATAAGGAGGATAAGCGTGATGGCCAGAAGGGGTCTTTTCTACATCCCGTAAACAAGGGAGGAGAACCCACTATTATTGAAAGATGAGGCCCATCTGTATCTGATCCTGTATAACCTTCCGTTCATACACAGTACACTGCGACCAGCTTCCTCCACTAGAATCTGAGCTCCTCCAGCCACTCTGCAACGGTAGCACTGGGAGAAGGAAGCTCTATGGCAAAGGAATGGCTACAGAACTGAAGAGTGAATATAACTGAAAAGTGTGACCTGCAGCAAAACTTTTCAGCTAGCTATTGGCACATTATACTTTGGGAGGTACCTTCCTGTAGTGGGATACTTTTACTTGCCACAGGGCAAATATTTGCATCCTTTCTGCAGCTCATCAGGCTAACATACTTTGGAATTTATCCTAATGCATTAAATAATGCAGTATGATTTAGTTTCTCTACATAGTACCTACTACCATTGCAGCTACAGAACAAGAAGCGCACAAGGTGTCAAACTTAATTATTTTATAAGCTTTGTTCTCTTTAACTACAATTTTATATTATGAATGCATTAACACCAGGGACACTCATTATAGCACAAACATTTATTCTCACATTTGGGTCATTTTTGACAGGTGACTACTGTAGAATTTGTTTCATTATTACAATTTCATGAGTTCAAAGGGCAAAAAGATAATCTGCTTATGGTAACGGTTGGACAGTTCCCCCTCCACCCTCAGCTCAGGGCTTTTAAGTTTTGCTAACAGTTTTACAAAGCTAATTAAATATTTTCTACTGCACAGCATTTTAGGAAGATATTATAAGAACAGGATTAACATTCTTAATGTCTTTGTCCTAAGGGTCCTTTTTCAGATAGTAATGAAACATTGTCATATATAAGTCTTTTAAAATATTCACCCCCTACATTCATTCTAGGCTTAAAGAGGATTTGGAAGGGTAGGGGGCTGGTTGGTTGGTTGTTTTAGTGTGCATAAGAGCATTCAGGAATTTTATAATATATGAGAATGAAATGCAAAGATCACCATTAAACTGTCACATATAGGGGCAAACAATTGGCTGCTTGGCAGTTTGAATCAGAAACTTCAATGTTTTTGGGAAAATAAGCTGAAAATATGCATTACATTAATCTGGTATTCACAAGGTTTTTGTTAACATCTTCTTTCCCTGCAGTTTGCTGATACCGTGTCAACCTTTTCTGTGTATACAGAACAGGATCTTTGGCACAATGTGTGTCTACAATATGTACAATCGCAATGTACTTCCTACAACAGCCAGGAATTTACAAGAGGTAGGATCTAATGAAAAAAGTATATAATAATACAAAAACAGGCTGGGAGGTAACATATACATGAGAATGGTAAATTTAAATATTGTAAAAATGACTTCAGTCCATCTTATTTTGAATACTTAGCTTTGATCTTTCCATTACATTTTGTACACAGGATATATGTGAATTGATGTATATATATATGTTAATGGATATCTTAAGAAAAAGGCTGTGTCTGCTAAAATGGAATTTAAGACATCTTTAACTGTAAATGGTACTGAATTTCTACGCGCTTCTAGATTTATTAACTGGTCTTCATTTTATTCTCTCAAAACCCCATGTTTTAGCCATCATCTGGTTGTGCTTCTCTGTTGGTCTGGGAATTCAGTACCTAATTCCTGACAAAAAGTCTTACTACTCAATGGCAGAAATTAAAAAAATCAAAGTCCAGACTTTTGATCAAAAGCTAAATTAGGACAGTTTTACTTCAGCCTCATAGCGCTGATTCACAGGCAGGACAGCAAAGCTACAAATGTATTTTTAAAGGAAGAGCAGAGAATTAGGTGACTATCTCAGCAGCCGTCAGCCACTTTGCAGCCCTGTTGGATGCTCCAGCTGTTCAAACACGCCTGGAGGGGAGCCTCGCTGAGGGAGCTGCCAGCTGGCCAGGCAGCAGCCCCCAGCCCTGCCCCCAGCACCAGCGAGATCTCGCTGCTTCCCCTCACTCCCGTGCTGCCATATGTGACCGGCAGATGAAGGATGGTCTCAAGTGAGTTAAGTTAACCTGACTTCCCAGATGGGAGTGGATGCAGGTAAAGTGAGGGGCCTCCAGAGGAGAATATAGTGCCTTTTCAAGGAAAAACAGGATTTGGGTTCCTCAGCTTCTGGCATGCTCACCTGGAGATTACGTTCGTGTATACTCAACAGAGAGCACTTGTGTCAAGATCTCTCTTGCTCTTGGACACTGCAGCTCTCCACACAGTCAGTGAAAAAGGAGGGACTGGTTAGGAAGGTATATTGCATCCTGCTTTGCACTAATTCTCCACTAACCCATGCTCATTTATAGGCAGGATCCAAAACCTTTTCGCCCTTGCACAGATTCATGTCTGGGTGAAGAAGGATGCCCGCTCCACTATGCCTCCTTCTGCCAATTAATCCTGTCTCACAATTCAGCTATGTTAAAAACACATAAATTATAAAAAGTACATTTAACTCTTCCAGCAATTAAAATTTCTGACAAGTTCTAATTCCTTCATAAAAAGCTGATGTAAGATATCTAGATCTGGACAGTGTCTCTGAAAAGCTCATTTTCTATCATGTACACGTTGCTTCTCATAAAATGAGATACAGTAACCCATATTTGAATTTCATCTTCAAGAAATAGCAAACGCCTCCCCTTCGCAACCCATTTCCCTCCTCAGGGCACTGAAATGCAATGTCCAAGCAAAAGACTATTCTTTGGGTTTTATTCAATGGGACCTAGTACGTTCTATTTTTCTGAATACTGTTGTAAGAATCCCAGTCACCCTAGTGGAAGATCACCACTGAGAAAGAATGGTGTAAAATACAGAGGTAAAACAGTGATCTAAGTTATAAAACATGTAGAGACAGTGGAGAAATACTTCAATTAGAACAGGACAAACTGAAATCAAACTGAAAGCTCTTGGAATGTTTGGAAGGAAAACAAAAAACTTATTAGAAGCAGAGCAAGAAGATCATAACTTTTTTTTTTTTTTTAAATAAATCATCAGAGAAGACCACCTTATACTATTACTACTGTTGAGCAAAAGTATCAGATGCTTCCAGATTTTCTGCTCTGCTTTTTAAAGTTAGGTACTATGCACAGAAACGCAGTGCAGGATAATGAAATCCGAGAGTTCACCACAAGATCACCTCCTTCCCTTCCACCTTCCTTTCTTGGAAGTCCACTTATCATTCTACCTGTTTGCTGTGACTAAGAACTTCAGCACTTACTGGCTTTAACAGATTGCTGCTCATTAACAGGTTGTTGGGTTGTTGATTGGACTGTTGATTGCTTTTTAATGCAAAAGAAAAAAAATCTGGCAAGTAATCAGATTTTCCTGCTTTTATTTAGATCTCCTCCAATTCATATTAGAAAGAATAAAAATGCAATGTTAAAGATCAGAATAAATACCTAGAATATTGCAAAGAATTTTTTAAAATGTATCTTCAGTTATTCATAACTTTCTACATCTCACATAACTTCTTAGTTCAAAGTGCATCTGAGTGTACTCCACTGTGGCTATAAATAAAATGTCAAACCCATGTATACAATACAGTGGGAAACTACCCAACAGTTCTGAATTATTCGCACACTCTAAGCACTAATTGAAATGTCACTGTCGTATCCATTAAACCCAAAGTGTCAAGGAATAAAGCTGGGGGAGGGTGATGAGCAAGAACATAAATCACAGGCATCACAGTGAGGGCTGGAATGTGCCTGGGATGGACCTTATAAATGAAACCACAACAGCAAAGCAGTCTGAGCAAAATCTTGTGTCGATCCCTTATTCCACAGATTGTAAGGTATCATTTGTTGCAACATACTATTCTGACAAGCTTCCGTAATTATATTTAAACTACTCAAAGGGTTTCTGTGCAAAACCAAATTTTTTCTAATATGCTTTAAAAGCTTTGCAGAAAGGAAGAATTAAAGTTTATTCTATTTGCATCTGTACAGCTCACGCTAGAAGTTATGCAATGGTGGAAAGAACGGACTTTTCAGTCTTTAAGTTACTAGTTTTCTGAGACTTTCTCATTTTAGCCCAAGGTTTACCATGTCCTGTCCATGCCATATGCTTAGTATAACAGCTACATATAACGAAACATGTTGTCTTAAGGTTATATTTTAAATTTAAGTTAATGAAATGTTATCATGTTAGATTAAATAAAACTCTACTAAGATCTCTTCACTGATTGAAGTTTCCACTGTGCAGCAATCAAAGATGGTAGAAAGAGTGGTAATAGCAATTAGGATGGTACATAACAGGGCAAAGGCTGAGAAGAAAAATGTCTGAAAACAACCCAGAGACCAGACGACAGCCGGACTCATTGGGACTTCTCATTACTTTGCTGTGAATATACTGTTGATACTGTGAAAGTCACCTGCAAGGCATGCATTTTATCCCCTGTACTGCTAGAAATCCCAGAGTGAAACAGTGAACTGGTTAATCTATACAGAGTAGTGAAGTACTGCATTGTTCACAGATATGTTAAAAATTAGAAACAGAATAATACGGTAGTGGGCAAGCTTTCTTCACTCTTACATTATTTGTTCAGAAGGCAGATGACTGTGTAGTGGGTGTACCAATTCAGCTTGTCGAGATGAATGATTATAGTGTCAGTATTATGAATACTATGGAATGTCTGTTTTTACAACTGGGATCTTTTTTTCATCTAGGAAACGACACAAATGCACATACACATACCCCTACCCACCTACCGGAAAAGAACACTATTGAATTTGCAACATCAAGCGTACTAAAAGTAAAAAAAAGTCAAACCATCATCTGTCTGGCCAACTTGTGCCATCATGAGACAAGCTTCAATGTCATGAACACAAGTATTTTTTCAATTGGACCCTGATAATCCCATCAGTTCATTCCACGCACTGAAAGGCCTGAAGGCTGTATAATGAAGGACTGTCAGAAAGACGCCTGCTCTACCTGTTACAGAGTTTAGCTGGAATGTAACAAATAAGGCAGGAGAAGGATAGACAAGCATATGGTTAAAATGTCAAAAATGCCCCTTAACTCTGTCCCTGGACTCCGACAAGAACCCTTTGTGATGCTAACCAAATTGCTTGAAATCAAATTTCCAGTTTCCCATAGGTGGCTGCTAATTGAGTAGTCATCAATTTTTTCACATGCCCAAACTAAAAGCCTCAGGATACGACTTGCAGAGCTGCTCTATTTTACAGCTGTCACCAAAATCATCGAGATCCATGCTTCAAACACGTAAGAGGAAAGATACTTTGAAAAAAACAGAGCATAAGCATCTAAAAATATGCATTGAAAAAAAAGCTAGTGAGCCTTTTCACTGTACCACAGTCATCAACTACAAAACAAGACCTAAAACCTATTCGTAACACGATGATGTTATGGAAGTAACTTCCTTCATACAGATTAACAGCTCACCCTCGGCAATGAGCTCCATGCAAAACATGAGGAAATTAATCCTGCCTTCAGTGCTGGATTGAACCAGTTTTATAAAATAAGTCTGATGCCATATTTTGAACAGTGAGAATAAAACAACATCTGATGTTTACTACATGAGTACTATTATTCTGCACAGTGAATAAGGCAGTAGTAGTTCTAGGAGGGAGGAAACCCTATGTAACAGCGCATTTAAAACTTGTATCATAATAAATAAAGTCAAGAAGGAAAATTAAAATTTCACAGACATTTGACCTTTTTTTTCTCAACTATAAAAGCATAAATATTATGTAGTGGTTTTGGGCAATTTTGTACTAGACTATAGTCTTTTTTACTGGATATAGTGATTATGATCCCATTAGGAGTAACAACGGATATAAGTTTCAGTCAGATACTTGAGTTAAAAAAAAAAGTTTCATAAAAAAATTTCCCAGAAATGTTAACATACTTACTCATAAATACTTTTACAAGAAGCTGTACTGTAATATTTTTTTTTTTTAAAGACAAAGCTTTAGTAGATTATGGAAAAAGATCACTATATGGCTTACATTAAAGAACTTTTTTGCAGTGTTAAGACAGATGTAGATAGGAATTCTGGAACATCTACTTACATTCACACTGTATCACATCTAAATTAAATTGCTGAATTGCTCCCATGCTTATTTGTTTTAATTCACTGTCCAGTAGCATCTGCATTAGGGACGTTGAAAGATGCTGGCAGGCTGACATGCAAGCTGTCTGGGCCACTTTTCCCTAGTAGAAAGAGCAACAGGTTTTAAGATAGAAACAAATGATACGGCACTAAAGAACTGCTTATCTGATTTGATTTTAATACACACTCGAAGTATTAATGACGCAGGACTTAGATTAGAAGGAGAAAGATCACACTTGCTGTTATTTCTTTGATCTGTTAGCTTTGTTTCTATTAAATCAATCAGGGAACTAAATTAAATATATGTTAAAGCAATTATTGATATTTCTTCTGGAAATCCAACAGTCTTCAGGAATACAAGGACATTTCCAAAATAATAACAACATAAGTTGCTGAAGCATATGAACAGCTTTGTGGATTTATTTTAATTTTTTTTACCCAGACAGAATGAAAGCAAGAATGTAATGAAAATCAACATGCTGCATATTTTTAACAATAGTCAGTAAAAAAACCCCAAACTTTATATAAACCAAAACCATTCCTTTCAGTTGGGGCATTTCTCATAACAGCTTGTGCTAATTATTTGGCACTTTAATTGCTTGAATTTCATCTCAAAGCTTGTTGCTAAATTATTTAAAATATTCATGCTTATCCATCATCTTTTCAGGTGCATAATAAATCAGTGCTGTCAGTAATCAACTACTTACAAAATGAAATGTAGCCCTCTGCTGTACGAAATAGAAATAATTTTCTAATCACAGTCTAGTTAGTAACATTTCTCTTTATGATGTATATGTAATTGAGACAATTTTCCAAACATGAGACCAAAAAACAAAGCACAAAATCAGACATTAATTTGATAAATTATTAAAAATTTAGTACAGAAAAATTGAAAGCTATGGAAATTCTACCTTAGAATTAAGAAAACCAATTAAGACCAGATACCCGATCAGATGGCACCGTTCTATTCCATAGTACTGCAAACTTTTAGAACAGAGCGATCGTGGCTTTCAAATGCAATTATATGAATCTCTGTAGTTTAATGTACTTATTAAACCATGCTTTTCAACTGACGTCTATGTTACAATACATATTGAAACAAAGGTAACTATTAACACGCTTACACAAAAGAAATCATAATTACGTAATACACCTACTGGAGCACACACCACTATCGTTTTACTTATATCCATCAGTAAAGTGATGACACCTATTCTCTAAAGCAATGGTTCCCCAGCTGTTTTCTGCAAAGTCAGGTTGATCAATTCACTGTTGACTCACAGAAACACATGTAAGCAATGAAAAATGATAAGGATAGACAGCAGTTCACTGTCCCAAAAAGTTTGGAAAGTTCTGCTCCAACATCTGAAGAGCCAGATCTTGTCCTTAATAAGACAACTTGCTCATAGAATTGAATTTTCATGTACACATATAACAGAAAGCAAATTTGGCCCTAAGTATTTTGTACTTTAAAAATCCATTCTTTGTTAAAACGCAATTAAAATGTAGACAATACAATGGAAAGCGTTCACTCTCCTCACATGTCACAGTGAAACATTAAATGGCTTTTGCTAATACTTCTTTAGCATTAGGACACCTTGAACTGTTAGGAGCTTTATATCTAAAATGAGATGTCAGTTTCTTAATTGAAAGTCTCAGAAAAGCAAATAACATTTTTGACCAAAGCAGATGAACTGACAACAAGGAATGTAAGAAACAATGCAAGAACAGCATGCTTAAAAGTCTCCCAAACCCAACGGTAATTACACTGGGAGACATCCAGCTCTATTCCCCAAGCAGAACAATATCAATATGAATGGAAAAGAGAAAAAAAGGGGAAAGAAGGAGGAAAAAAGGGGGTGAAAAGGGGAATCGATGGGCCACAGTTCATTTAATTACAGTGCAGTAGGTTTGAAATACTTAATGGAAATGTCATTTTGATTTAATGGAACAACTAGTGCATCTCTGTTTAATGTACTGCTCCATCAAATCAGCTCCATGTCCTATTTATGCTGCCACTACAATGTAATAAAAGTTCAACCAGATTAATAGGTTGTCAGGAAAAATTTTAACATTTGATTTATTTTATATGCAAACAATGTGTACTCCTCTATTATTTTAAGACAGAATTGTATATTTCTAACAAGCATCTGTAGTTAATTTTTACAATCTGGCAAATATCAATAGTACTGGAGCACAAGATAATGGTTACAATACAGAAATGACATGGTAAAAGCCACTTGGACTTATAAATAAGTATCAATACATGTATGTTTAATGTTTATTTTTAAATTTCATAAAATGGAAACATCCTAACACTTAAACTATTTCCAACTATGTAACTTGAACTACAGGCTTATTGTTCACATGACATATCAACAAATAATAGAATTTTACTATACAGTTTATACATAGTACAATCACTCGATTTTCTTAAATCTAGAGAAAAAAACTAAGCTACATATATAAATCAAAATGCTGACTTTTAACTGAGAGAAATGTGAACTTTACTATTATCCTCTTCAAAATTCAGTGCTTCCCAGTTCAAAATACGTTGGCTGTACGATATTCAGACAAGAATGAAATTAAAATTTGCGTTTGACAAACGAGATCTAGTTAAAAACATCTCTCCAAATTTCCACCATGTACCAATTAATCAATTCCTTGTCATTTTTTCATAATGCATTTTGAAGAGGAAATTTAAGGATTTGTGGACATAACAGTAACACGTTTCTTTTCCAGAATTAAACACATGTCAGTTAGTTTTAAAGCATTCTTAATGTTTAGTCAGTTTGGGTTTTTTTAATTACTATTATTTTTTTAAGGGGGGGTGGGGGTGGCCATGGTTACTGTATCTAGCAATTAAATACCTATATTCAGTAGCATGCAGAGATTCAGCAGGCTTCTCACATTCACTCCAGTTGCCTCCCATTTGGAGACACCACTATTATCTCCGCTGTGCCTATGCTAATTGCTGCTATCTACAAAACCTATTCTTCCACACGACCAATGTAAAGTTTAAGAAACAAGGACCCTATTCTATAAGCAAAAACACCTGCTAACAGTGTTAAAGGCAACTGTTTTTTCACCCAGCCTTCACATTTTGCTGAAATACAAGTTTGTAAAAAGAGAAAACCCTTAGACAAACTTCTTATATTTCAAAGGAGCTTGTAAAGAGAATCTGCTGACATATTAAATCCTTTTTTATAAGACCCAAAAGCTTTTCTCCTAAGAACAATTGCAGTAAAGAGACATTTGGCTCCTAGGAAATTCCCAAAGGGTCAGCCATATGCATCCTTCCACGGCACCTTCGCAGTACTGCTAAGACCCACACTAGCTGTCTCAAAAGCAGCTTTCATCATTCACTATGGTGTCAGTCAATATGATTTATGGACTGCATTCAACAAAGTCAAAGCATATAGAATGAGAAATATGACTACAATCTGCTAATTTGTTTTGTATTGAGCCACTTAGGAGTCAAAGACCTGATGTCAGGCTGCAACCAGCACCACAATTAACCGGCCAGTGACAGATTCATCCATCCTCCCTGCCAGGCTGTGCCAATCAAAGACAGCATGAAGCGGCATTTGGAGAAATCAGTAAGAAAACCCATTCTCTAAGTAGCCTGCGGAGGCTGTTGATTGACAGTTTTTGAATATAGCTGCAGAAAACCACCACCCCTTCACCCTCACTGCAAGCTGTGAAATTAGGCTTTTGCTGCCAATCACAGAAACAATAAAATAACACAAACTGCCATCCTCAGCATAAAAGGAAATAACAAAACTTATCTGTTAAACCTAAGAAGTTAAGCTGAAGAATTAATTTAACAATATGAAATGACATAATGAAAAACTTTCTGAAAATGCAAAGAAACGAAACATACAGATTTTGTCAGTCATAATAACTAAAGCGTTACATTACTTAACATCAGGACTAAAACCCAACTTTTGAACTATTGATAAAATACAAGTATATTAAAAAACACTAATGGAATTTTTAATAATCAATTTTACTTCCAGTCTCTGCCCAAAATTCTACTGAAATAATAAAAAATACCTACTTGAAAGTAATTTGTAACTGTGACTTTTCAATAGTCATTCTTTTCCAAGGAGTTGTCCAACACTAACCTTGTACTTACAAAGCACATATCTAGAATAAAACTTCAGCTAATTCTAAACTTAATTATATATATACACCTTCTATAATTTCAAATAAACTGATCTGAAAATAAAAGGTATGATTTTTCTTTAACTGTTCAAAACAAAAACTAAAAAATGCAGGTCCTTAATAACAAATTTGATCATCCACTTGATTTCATAAGATTAATGGCTGTATAATGAAATTTTAATTTGCTTTTTGATTCAAAGTATCTAATGGCACTATAGACTGCAATATGAACTTAAAATGGGATGTAAAAGAAGCTGAAAACAGCAATAATCTCAAAAGACTAAATTCTTGTGACTTTAGAGAACAGAATCATTAAAAACTGCATGACTTTCAAATTATAACCTTTCAAAAGCAATGTAGCCTCTGTGCTCTGCATCTCTGAAATTCTGCTAGTGCTTGGTCATGACATAACCAGAACACTGACACCTATTCAACATTAATAAGAAATATTTCTACACAAAATATTCAATATTCCTAGTGCTTATGACACCTAGTAGCTTGACAGTTCAACATGAGGCTGAGTATTCAAATCACAGAAATGTTCATTGGAATGAACCATCAATGTCATCTAGTCCAGCCTCCTACTTGGAGTAGGACTATTGCCAACACTAGTTCAGGTCCGTTGTCCTTTTTCTGGCTGAACCTTCAAAACAACCAAGGATGGGAATTCAACAGCCTCTCTGGGTAACCTCCTCCAACACCGCACTACTCTCTTCATGCAAACTTTTTTCCCTAGTGTCAAAGCTTCATCTCCCAAGCTTCTGCTTGTGACCATAGCCACATGTGAATCTGTCAGTCCTACCAAGAAGAGTTTGGCTCCATCACCTTTGTGTCTGTCCTTCAAGAGGTTGTAGGCTGCCACTAGATCTCTCCCTAGCCTTCTCTTTAACTGACTAAATAATCCACCTCTCTAAACATCCATTTGTTAGTCATGTGCTCTAGGCTTCTAATAACTTCTAAGCCCACTGCTACATCCTCTCTCCAGATCCACAGAGCTTCTACTCAGCCAATTGCTTTCCACATTGTAGCAATGAACAGGTTTATTCCCACACTGTGTACTCTAAGTGCCTTATGCATTTGTTCACTTAAACAGTGAACAGCACAGTGTACATTTGTTGCTGTACACTGCTTAAGTGAACAAGATTCAACCACATTATTAGACAAAATTAGGAGGAGTAAATTCAGAAATTCAGTATTCAGAAGCCACACCTAACAGAATAATATTAATTTCAACACTTTCATTATCATGGAAATGCTTATGCCAAATCAAAATAAACTCCTTATACAAAAATTGATGACCTGAAAATAATCAGGTTTTGGAAGAATTCTTAAATGCAACCCATCATCTTCTTAAAAACAAAAAAAATTAAAAAAATTGAGCACACACATTCCCTTGACTGCAGGCAGATGTAGCAGAGAAACAACGGAACTTTCACTGATTCTTTATTCCGTTACATCACTCTACCCTTATTCTGTATGCATGTCTCATAGCTGCATTTTGATACCTGACCTCTCTTCCAAAAGGTCTCATAGTCTCCTCTAAATTATCTCATTTGGGATGCAAGGCACATCCCACCAACCTTCTGCAAGGTTTTTAGAGCTCCTGCTGTCCCAGTGTACAAAAGCCCAATTTTAGTCATTAACCTGATCCCTGCATGCAACCACACAAGGTACGCAGCAAGTCATCAGCAAAACAGAAGGATCTTTTTATTAAATGATTAAAAATTGAAGCAATAAGCCTGCAGGCAGTTCATAGTTTTTCATTTCACATGCTTTTTCTTCATCTTGCATCTACTTACCGACATAGCTGCATGGTCATTGTTGTTATTCTGAGAAGGAAACCAGTAAGGCAATCAAAACAAAAAAATTAAGATGTACTGTCAACATCAAAAAAAAAAAAGAATAAAAAATTGGTAGCAATAAAAGGTAAGGAAAAGCTTCCAAAAAGAACAATTACAGCTACATAATTCCTTAAATTATTTTTTTTAAACCTGTGAACTTATATAGTATTTTGTTGAGGCATAACAAAGAGATTATAATTTAAATAATACTAATTCAGCAATAAAATGTTTTTCTGTAATAAGGAACTGCATGCCAAAATATCAAAGTAGCAAACTTCAAATGATGAAGTATCTGTTGATATGCCTTTCCAGAAAATTTTCACGATAAGAAATAATATATTTCAAAATACTTAGGTCGAACAATAAATGCCATGTTTACCATCTTGGCTTACAGAGGCTATCTGTATGTCAGTAACATATTTTGTTCAAGCAAGACTTAGAATGGCTCAGGACAGTAAGAATCTAAATGGAACACAACCCATTAATAAATTCTAACATAAATCTAATGGTAATATAACTGTAGGGTAGAATTTCCAAAACTGCTTCTTAAGTACGATAAACAAACACAGAGGAGAAAACGAAGATGTAAAACTTAAAAGAAAAAAAAAAAAGCTTCAGAGATGCAGGACATTTCCAGTGATTCAACGGAGATATCAGACCCCAACTAAGTTGTGCCACAAAGTGTGCAGGTTCAGTAAAACTGAGATCATGATCTGCCCGATTTACATCTCTAATGTTCCAATAAAAATAATACAAATTGCATAAAAAAAGTTACGTAACATAAGATGTATTTTCTAAAAGTTATGTCTACATTGGTACAGAAATAATTCAGTATAGCCCCACATGGAAGCATAAAAGGAGACACATCCGTGTGCATTTACACAGCTTACACATACAGCTAAAATAAAACAAGACTCAATGACAGGAACTCAACGACTGCAACAAAAAATTGTTAAAGAACATATCATAACACTTCTACAGGAAGACTACAGTTTGAAACAATATCAAAGAGAAAGTCAGTGACCCTTGAACAAGGCAATGGAGAACTAGTGTGGCCAACTAGTGCCCCTAGCCCTAGCACAATGCCCTCTAATGTGATCAGATACACTAAGGTAGGAAGAGAAAAGATTCCTCTACTTGTCCTGCTCTTTTCCTTACTAGAATTATGGTCAGTGGCTAGGGCTTCTGTTCTTCGACTTCTAATTACAGAAAAGGTTCTGACAAACTATTTTGAGCAGTGGAATGTTTCTGCCAGCCATACAAAAATTATTATGGAAATGACACTCTGAGATTAATGGAATAATCCATTAATGAAAATGAATACTAAAGCTATTCCAAATCTTAACTATGGCATATGAGAATCTAGCTTAGTTTAGCACTCCAAAGCACTCACTGTTTTAATGAGTTATGGAACCTAGTTCTGGGCTTATCTTTGAAAATGCTTTTACTATAAATTTTCTCTTAATTAAAATAACTTACTATTACAAATCTAACCAGAATCACCATAGTGAAACTGTATACACATTTTCATATAACCTCCACAGCTCATGCACAACAACATTCACAGGACTGTATGCCCTATGTATACAATTGACCAAGACAGAATAGGAAATCCTATACACAGGAGAAGTCAAAAATTACGAGAACCCTCTTGCCAGACCAGACTAGTCATCCGTATAGTTCTACATCCTGCCTGTTACCTGACCAGAGTCTGAAATTACCAAATAACCTCCTCATAGAACTAGCTTTCTCCAAAGGTTGACTTGTACCCCCAGGCACATATTTCTATTCCTTTCACACTTTTCAAGTCCTAATGCCACAGCTGTTTCTTTCCGTCCCTCCTAATACATTACTTTGTTCTGTCTGTGGCTCGTTTTCAAACAGCTATATCACAACATACATTCATGACAGACTTCTGTACATCCTTCTCTAGAAGTTGCAAATCCCTTAACTGCATATGACCATTGAGGAGCAGCACCATTTGCTCACACTGCTTTATATATTAAGTTACAATGAATTTAACTATCTAACAAACTTGCTATTCTTTATCAGAAAAACACTCAACTGATTTGGAACAGAAGCACATGCCTCATACGTCATATTCACATCAGTATTATGTGATACATTTTGAGTGTGTTAGGTCTTTGAGTCAGTAAAAAAAAGGAGACTGAAGAATCACAGCCTCTTCACATGTGATTTGGAAGACCAGATAAGCCCACTATGCGAGCAACTTCAACACCTTGCTGTGCACATAAAGAAATTATCTTTTACTTCCAGTGTGGAGCCTCAAAATGTTCTATGCATTGAGGACTTATTCTTTATAGGCATTGCATGTGGGTAAAGCACTCAGACATCAGTGTGACAGTAGCAACCAAGGACAAGCTGATGAAAAGCAGATGTAGCTTGAAAGACTTATCGAAGTTACTCCAGACCTATAAAGCTATAAACTATTGTGATGATAAATCAAACTAGAAATAGGTTTTTTTGTCTTAAAGTAAGGAGAAATCAGACAACGGCATGTAACGACTAGCACATAAAACAGGTTAACAGTACCCTTTTATCTGGGACAAAATAACACAGGATATATTTGAATACAAACAAGGATTCATTTCAATGAAGCTCAATTAACTAGAATCAATGGCTTTTTTTTATTCAAAACTATTTAGCTAAAAACAACCTTGGAGAATCCAAGACCTCCATAATCTTTTCACAAATGGCGGATTTGCACCAATTCTGCACTGGTTGAATCAATGCATGTGAACTATTGTGATGATAAATCAAACTAGAAATAGGTTTTTTTGTCTTAAAGTAAGGAGAAATCAGACAACGGCATGTAACGACTAGCACATAAAACAGGTTAACAGTACCCTTTTATCTGGGACAAAATAACACAGGATATATTTGAATACAAACAAGGATTCATTTCAATGAAGCTCAATTAACTAGAATCAATGACTTTTTATAATCAAAACTATTTAGCTAAAAACAACCTTGGAGAATCCAAGACCTCCATAATCTTCTGCACAAATGCAGGATTTGCACCAATTCTGCACTGGTTGAATCAATGCATGTGTACACAGAACCAATATGGTTAATTAAAGAGGCCATCTGATGCTCTAGAAAACTGCATGATTTCTTACACTATTTGTAAATTAGCTGTTGTTAACAATATTACTAAAGTATTTGAAAGTATTTCCCAAGTATTACCGTGGGTAAGCATCATCAACATACTGAAATACATCTGAAAATATATATGTACGGAAAAAAAATTTAAAAATCCCCCTGCCAGCATGTGCACAATTCAAAAATCACATCTATCTTCAAAAATCTTAGTATTTTAAAATAAAATAATGCTCCAATAGTTTGAAATTAAACTTAATTTTGAACACTTACAGGTAAATGCGTAAAAACTTGAAATGTGCTTCTTAGAAAGTTAATAAGGTCCATTAAGTATCCACTGGCTCTTCCATCTGATTCGGACATTGTCCAATCATAATCAGCAATCTGAATAAATTCATCTATTTTTTGGTTAAGTTTTGTGTATATTTCTCCTTCTGCAGCATGCCTTGCGTCCTGAAAGAAATCGTGTGCAATTGTCAGAATTCTAAAATACTATTAGAATGCAGATAAAATTATATTCATCAACAAAACAGCAGTCGTGTGCTTTTCTTGGATTCAAAAAATATTTTATTTAAATTAATATTTTAACTTCTGTCTTACTGATATCTGAAAGTCTGAGGCTGTGGTTTTTAAAATACTCCCATAATGTATACTAGAAGAGTGTTTATAACAGATTATTCTGGAGGCATATTTTAAGTTCTCAGAGACAAATGAAATTAATTTGAATTTGGAAACAAAGTAATTGCTTTACTCTCTTCACAACAATCACCTTTCATTCAAATTTATCAACCCTGACACAAAGTTTATTTGCCCTCTTTTACAAGGAAAATAATAAAAGAACCTAATTATTTTATCTGCTATGGCTAGGGGTCCAGCAATCGTATGATTTTTATGTAATTAATGTCTTAAAGCTGCATATCTGAAAAATACTCATCATTTTTCATCCTCCTTTAAATATCTTGATCATCACACACCATGATTCAGAGCACTCCCCTACTTCCTTCCACCCCTACTTTTTGTTCTGCCATCACCCGGATTCTACCTTTTGGAACAGTACAGAAGTCAAGTCCAGCATTTACTGTGAAGTGAGTTTACAATGTTATCTATCTGCCTTATTTGTTTAGGGGACATCTTCATAGATGCAATGGGATCTATGTACAGATGCTTGATAAAGTGTACCTTGCTGGAAAGGCATGCTTTTGCCAGCCTAGAGTTTAAAGATACTCGATAAATTCTGTGTTCTAATTTGGGCTCAACATGAAACTTTCTTCACAGATCTTAAGAAATAATTCAAGTAAGACATTTGATTTAAAGTGAACTGGTTAGTTGCTGAAGGTTTTTAGAGGCTGGATATACTGAAGCAACATAAAAGTGGATGAAATTCCCATCATCAGTTTCCTCCGGGAGAAAGCAGTCCATGGCATGTCAGAAAGGTGTAAATAAGAAAGGCAAAAAGAAAAAAAAAATCATAATTATCTGAGCTTAAAGGTGGTATCACATTGAGTGTGTCAAATTCAGTCTTCATTCAGGCCTGAGGCTGTGACGCACTTCATGAGGAAGCAAGAAAACATGTGGCCCTGCCCTGTATAAATATCACAGTATGATTCCCTAAAAATAGCATTTTTACTGCCCAACCAACTTGTAAAAGTCTCCACTGAACAGCTCTCCCAATCCAACACAAAAGAATCTGGCAATCTGTTAACATGTTAGATAAAGGAATACGCTGACATCCACAGTTTTGTAGATGGTTTTGACTAGAAAAGCTTCAATTAAAGTCAAGTCTGTATTTAAAGTTTCTAAATAACAATGAGACCTCAGTTTCAACAATCTATAATGACAAGTCTTGCAAATATATCTGCTTAGGTTTAGTGCAATTGCTTGGATTTTTTGTTTGTTTGGGTTTGGGTTTTTTTGTTTAAAAGCTAAGTCATTTATGGAGTGGTTGTATCATCTTTACCAGTTAAGATGATTTACTGGCAATGGCAAGACTAGTCCTTCAGTTTTTGTTTTGGAAGCCTGTTTTTGGCTACCTTTTATTTTTCTTTGGTTACTGGTTTACAATTGGAGCAGCGTGCTGCCAGTACTTTAAGCAAGGAGTGTTGCTCTATTCCCTGAGAAAACTGTGAACAGATGAGCAATTGGATTTCAAACCTAGAAGTTACTTCTGAGAAGCAGCACTGTGAATTCTATGCACAAGTCAAGAAAGAGTGAGTTAGCAGTATTCAGATTTGGGATGACTCGTAGAGAGAGATGAATTAACTCTGTCTCTTCTGGTGGTGACAGAATTGCATCAAAACCTTTTGAAGGCTCACCAGATTTTCCCCTGTTATAAAGCGAAAAGGGCAAATGACATGGTTTTGTTAAATGGCTTTTCTCTCAGAGGATGTCCTGAAGGCCTGCACAGGATTTGATGCTGTGTATCTGGCTCTCCAAATGCCATTATGCAGCTTAATGCTGAGACCCTGGGCTCAAAAACTTCTATCAACCAGATCCGCAAATACATCTATTTATGCTTAGTGTGGATGCTGATTTAAACAAAGGAAAACAATGGCCATCCAAAGCTGGAAAACGTGGCTATAAATATTGAAAGTGACACAATTTTAATATGATAAAAGGAAACAAGTTTTGGTGGTTTTTTTGGTTGGTTTTTTTGTGGTTTTTTTTTTAATCTCTACCCATGCGAAGCAATGCTTGGAGAGTTTGAAGGACATCTTAAAATGAGATCTTATATACAAAAATAAAATGAAAAAAACCAGCCTTCTAAAATAGCAGCCATTAAACAGGTCTGAAGGCTTCTGTTAAAAAAATACAGTGTAGATGTACTTATAAGATCATCTCATGGAATTTAAATGTGATCAATGCTGCTAATAAAAGGAGATTTTTGACCACTCAGAAAGAATGAAGGTGACACGATTTGCCACCAGGAGATGAATTTAATAACAGTAGAACATACCAATCTCTGTGAGGGCCCACTTGGGGAACTGCAAGCAGTTTTTCATTAAAATAGACAGGGGGAAAAAAAGAGGGATTAACGAGAAAAGAATTTTCTACTATAAGTGGAGAATGTTGTGCTAACAAGTTCTCTTTTTTAGACAGGACAGAAACCATAAAAAAAAAATTCTTACGTGTTTGTCAGCGTTCATTCTGTATGTTTCCAAAGTGCATAGATACTAAGCTCACTACACACAGACATAATATTCTGTGATTCCTTCCAAAAGAACTTAGACAGTTTATAGGATAGTTAAACATAACTTAACAGCATAAGCAATCAGCACAAAATATAATGCAAACTTTCAACTGCATTTATTAATTGAAATTCAAGGACAAAGCACATCTTACCTCTAAATGAAAAAACACTTAATGCAGCCATAGTTTTTTATGTTTGAATGTTAAAAAGATTATGGATTGACCTTACACAAAAATATCTATAGATATGCAAATTCAAAGACACACATGCTCTATCAGTACACAACAAGCAAACTGGGCAGCCTAGATCTTAAGGACAGGGCAAAATTAGTAAAACTACTGGTAGGGCAATGGTAACCTAACTACAGTTGCTAGGCCAGAATCTTTCTGTCTTACCTTATTCATTAAATCCTTAGCAAAACAAATGACAGTTAATGGGAAAATTGTTGGCAATCAACTGGAAATATGAAGTGCCTTGCAATGATGAGGTCTTATTCCACCTCACCCACCTTTTAATATCTATGCCAGAGGGGATATTATAATAGGATAGGCTACATATTGCATCAAGAGAAAAAAAATGAAGTACAGAAAACAGAACTACTCTCAATAGGATTAGTCCTCTTTATCCCATAAATACAAGAAATCACCCTCCTTTGTTTCAGTGTACACTGAAAAACCACCAAATACCTAAAGTTCAAGTTGCAGCTGCTTTGGAATCTCTGATGACTTTTTGTTCTATTTTGTTTTGTTTCTCTTTCAAAAATTTCTGCATAGAAGCCCCAAGTGACTAGGCGGCATTACACTGGCTGAATTAACGGCACAAGGCAACCTATACAAGATTATTCTTTGGTGACAATGTTTTCTTCAGAAAGTGTATTGGGTTTGCCTGGCAAGGTTTTGGTATTGGGGGTCTACAGGGGTAACTTCTGTGAGAAGCTGCTAGAAGCTTCCCCTATGTCTGACAGAGCCAATGCCAGCCGGCTCCAAGACAGACCCACTGCTGGCCAAGGCCGAGCCCATCAGCAACGGTGGTAGCACCTCTGGGATAACAAATTTAAGAATGTATTTAAGAAGTGGAAAAAAGTTGATGGGCAACAGCAATTGCAGCGGGAGAGAAGAGTGAGAATATGTGAGAGGAACAACTCTGCAGACACCAAGGTCAGCGAAGAAGGAGGGGGAGGAGGTGCTCCAGGCGCTGGAGCAGAGATTCCCCTGCAGCCCATGGAGGTTAACGGTGGAGCAGATATCCACCTACAGCCCATGAAGGACCCCACACTGGAGTATGTGGATGCCCAAAGAAGGCTGTGACCCCATGGGAAGCCCACGCTGGAGCAGGCTCCTGGCAGAACCTGTGGACCCATCAAGAGAAGAGCCCATGCTGGAGTAGGTTTGCTGGCAGGACTTGTGACCCCCATGGGGGACCCACGCTGGAGCAGTTTGTGAAGAACTGCAGCCCATGGGAAGGACTCATGTTGGAGCAGTTCATGGAGGACTGTATCCCGTGGGAGGGACCCCACGCTGGAGCAGGGGAAGAGTGTGAGGAGTCCTCCCCTGAGGAGGAAGGAGGAGCAGAGACAGCGTGTGATGAACTGACCGCAACCCCCATTCCCCGTCCCCCTGTGCCACTCGGGGGGAGGAGGTAGAGAAATTGGGAGTGAAGTTAAGCCCGGGAAGAAGGGAGGGGTGGGGGGAAGGTGTTTTAAGATTTGGTTTTATTTCTCATTACTCTTCTCTGATTTGATTGGTAATAAATTAAATTAATTTTCCAGTCAAGTCTGTTTTGCCCATGACGGTAATTGCTGAGTGATCTCCCTGTCCTTATCTCGACCCATGAGCCTTTCGTTATATTTTCTCTCCCCTGTCCAGCTAAGGAGGGGGAGTGATAGAGTGGCTTTGGTGGGCACCTGGCATCCAGCCAGGGTCAACCCACCACAGAAAGAAAACCCCAAATCACCCCCGAAGCACACACATTTGCTTCTATTCTAAACCAAAAAAGCTACGCAGTCAGACTCAGTCAATGAAATAATTTCTGCTATATTTTATGTATATGAATACCAAAGCTTGGTTCTTCAGTGTACACAACCATCTGGTGCTTGAAAGAAGTACCTGGTGCTCAACCACCACCAGAGCATGAAGGATCTCTAAACATCTCTACACCTGTCCCCAGTGCCACAGCGCAGGAGGGTTTCTGGTGTAGGGCCATTCAGTGGCCTGACACCAAACCATCTTTGCAGTCAGCACAGCTAGTCCAGCTGTTGGGATCTTGTTTTAGAGCTTACTAGGGTCATTATGACATAAAACAGCCTGAGCAAGGATCAGAATTTTGACTAATTTATCTTAGGGATAAGTCTCAGTCATCTTGAGTTTCCTGACATTACGTGTATAAGTTGTCTTCAGCAATTTCATTTTTACATGCTGGTTTTTCATTAACACCACATGTGTCTACCTTAAAACTGAAAAAGGACTAAGGCCTTTTGAGTAATATGGCAGAGAGGGTACGGTTTTTGCTCTGCCAAGGACATCAGATGTGACTATACAAGTCACTTGGTATTTTTGCTTTGTTTCCTCTTTTCAAAATCCTTCAGAATTTTTGTATAGACAAATGTAGGAACAACTAGGAGAACTTCACCTACTAATGAGATGAGGAGCCATATATAGAACGAAAACTACAACATTTTTTATTTTAGGATTATATTATACTTGGCTTACAAATGTTAGCATGCTAACTGTTGAAATTACAATTGTCTATGCTTAGTATGCATCACCTACTATCTACTTTAATTTTTTCAGATATAAGCTTAAGTACTTCTGCCACTTCTGAAAAATGTCAGAGAAAATACAGCTTGTGCAGATAAGTCGTTGCCATATATTAGAAACGGTCGAGTTCCCAGTGATCATTTTAACAAGTAGTATTGTGTATATAAAGGACATATGAATTCTAAAAAGATAATTGAGTAATTTATGCTTTGTAACATTCTTAATACTGCTTTTATATTACTAAACTACACAACTTGAAAATGTACCACAAAATATCTCTATCGCAGAATAAAAACAAATAAATAATACAAACATTTTAGATTAAACTAGCTGTTTTGCTCGAAAGGGGAGACGTTACACAAACTGGAGCTTAATCTGTTGAAAGCTTCTGGTGCAGTTAAGCTTAGCTTGTCATTTCATAACTTAATAAAAGATGCATCTGAAAGAGAATATTGATGCTTCTCACGTACTGAGGTATTTCAGATCATACCGATAACATAAAAAACAGTGTTTATCTGCTCAGTGTTAGAATTGAATTCTTAACAGTTCAGAATTGGTTTAGAGTCAAAAATGAGAATGAGTGCAGCTTTGCCCTCATCCCTTTTGTTTTAAAATGCTTCATTTATAGTGATTTTAATGTAACTTTTCAGACATAGTCATATAACAGATGAGATATACCATACCTTAAATGTAGAAAGTCCATAAAGTCTTGCAGTGTGAACAGTCACTTGTGAAATATTTGTAATGTTAGATATAAAATCCTCAAGGTATTTACAGGCTTGTTCCAGGTGTGTTGTGTTTATGATGATTTGAACAAGCTACAGGAGACAAAAAAAATCTTGTAAAAATCCTTTTTGTATCACCCACTGTCATTTGATTTTGTAAATGGTTACTTCTTTCAGCAACAATGCTACTAGAAATTAATTACAGTATTTCAGGTTACCACCTATTACCTGTTAGTTTTCTAGTTTGCTTTCAAACACCACTAAGGAGTAATACTACAGTTTACATACAGATGATGCCATTTTAAAAATGAAGACTGCAGACACCTACACAGTGAAATAAATCCAATTGATATTTTAGAATTAAAGAAGGGAAAAATAAAGGAAAATATATTGCCAAAAGCAAACCACTAATTTGTACCATAAAAATATTTTTTAAAAAATTTACTGCTATAAAAAAAAAAAATCACTATCTTGTCTGCAGAATGATGCATTCTGAAGTTAGGGAATTTAAAAAATAAGGTTGTCAACTCCTTACCCCCCCAACAATGGTAACAATCTGCTTATACATGATAGAAATGTTTTTATAAGCAGGACCTACATTCGCATTCAGTTCACAAATTAGACAACATACATAATGCACAGTAACTGAAATATCAGTATATTGTATCTTAATTCTCACTGCATACTGTCTATTTTAGTGAACAGTAATGTAATGCTTGGTAAAAGAATTTTTCTCTTTTTTAACATTTTTCTCATAAAACATATTGACTTGATAATGAAACACCTCAAAAAATACTACTGAATTTATTTTCATATCCTTGAAAATATTCCTGTACCAATTGCAAGAACATAGAAAACTACATCTCAGAAAAATTGTATGGCTTGTCTTACTAACATGGCAATATACAATTTATAGAGTTCTTTCCTCATCTTTTTCTTCTTGATTTCATCTATACAAGAGGTTCTTGCAGTTTAAAAACAAGATTCAGTATGACATAACACTGCTCTAATGGCAACAGTCTAAGTCCTTCTCAGCATGTTTCAGTAGGTACCTGCTAATCTCCTGACATTGCATGCTCCTGCAGTGAATGTTCAGAGTGATTCACTGTCTCACCCTATCTTATTCTATCCAATAAACAAATTAAACCAAGAATCCTGATGAAGAAACAACATGCACAAACCTACTAAAATATTTTAATTGCAATTACTATAGAAAAATTTTCATGTGTTAGAGTGAACTTGAGATTTTAGATTACTTGATCTGGGAGGTTTACTCTGAAATGTTACACAGTTCATGTGAGATCTTCTTCCCCCCCACCTTTTTTTTTTTTTTAACAGGAAGAAAAAGAAGCTAAACAATGTGCTACTAATGCCTAGACAGGAGCAGAAGACACGAACCATGCTCTGTATGCAACCAAAGAAGTAAGAGTCTTTCACTTATTTCTTGCAAATCTCTGTTTATCATACAGGAGACAGAACTCTCTCATTGTCACCTCTCTCTCAAAAGGCATCTCTGTGTAAATATACTCCCAACTAGACCCAACACTGTATTGTTATTATTTATGTAACAGATATTGATGCTTTTTCATACTTCCATCTTTCACCTTTTTAAATTTTCAACTTTGAAGCAAACACTACTTGGTTTTCTTACACAAATCTTAATACCACGGTATATTTACATTTACAAGAATAGTTTTAATACTAATTGTCTTAAAACCACGATTTTTAAAACTTACCTCGGTTAAACCTATATGAGGTTTTTTAATTAGGTTCTGTAAACAACTACTTAGAGTTCTTGTAAGCAGCAGATTTGTAGATTTTCTGAGCATATCATCTATTTCTGTTGAGCTGAAAAAAAGTTTATTTTTATAACTATGCTGTACATGACAATACTTTGACAGTAATAGTTAATATTTTTATTTTTTCCCCTGCAAAGCAAACTTTTCATGTTAAGAATTCCCTATGTGCATTTAATTTCTGGTTGCTCCAAGTCTTCGGTGCTCTAACACACACAACACCTCTTTCACTTACCAAATTATCCATTAACTGAATTTCAACACTGAAGCAAAACCTTTTTTTTTTTTTTTTTTTTTTTTTTTTAGATTTTGGACATGTTTATTGACACAGCAGTTCAGAAAGAGTAATTTGTGGGTTTTAATGAGTTACTGAGGAGGTCAACATGTGCTCATTAGTACGTGTAAATTATAAACAGTATCAATTAAGAACGTGTGAAAGCGAGTCATTTACATCTTTAACAGTGCAGAAGTGGGCGACCAGTCACAAATACCTTCCAGATTTCAGATCTATCAATGTTATTTTATGTAATTAAAACTAAGCTTTTGAAGGCCACAAGAGGAAAGGAAAAGGGAGAACTGTGATGTTTTCCATCAGAAAAAGGTGGGATGGAAGAGGGAATGAGCATGCAGACAGCACGTTTTGTTGCAGGAGAAATCATTGCTAAAGAAAATCAAAGCACTGAGAAGGGAAAGACCGTTTGAAGTAATCAGGGATGCTACACAATTATTTCTGAAATGGTCAGTACCAAAGCATATTTTTCAAATCTTACATGCTTTCTTAAATAAATTAAATCTCCAGATTATTCGAAGCACCCAATATTGTTTAAAAACCCCCAGCAGTGTTTTAGACTGCTTACCATGCCAAGCTACCTTCACCCATACAGACATACACATATTGTATACAACATATATACACATACAGAATATATGCTGTATCATTGGGAATCATAGATTAGATATAAAGAATTAAATATGTACATTATATGTAAATTATGAAACAAGCACAGCTAGCAAGCACACAAGAAAATATATTTTCAATTTAATATATTTTTTAGGTCACCTGGAAGTTATAGGTTACCTTATAGTCACATTCCTGATACTTTAAGCTTACCTGCGGTGAAGCGACTCTGAAAACTTAAGGCTTGCATAAATAAATTCCTTAACCTGGATATAAATCTGAGGCACTGACTGAGACATTGGAAGCTTCTTTGGAAAGGATTGCTGTGGAAATAAAAGATAATACTATCTTACAATTGAAACTGATTCTAAGGAGAGCTTGGTGTTAAAGGCAATAATTAGAAAGCCACTTAGCACTATCAATATTTTAATCTATCTTAAGCTTTTCTGTTTTTCATCAAATGCAAATAATGGTATGTGTCAGGCTGACTTGTACATCTGTTTAAATAGCTTATAAGCAAAAGAGAACTTTATCACTTATTTAAATTACAATAAAGTTTGGAGACTTTATGTAATTTAAGATCCCTCTGTAGAAAGCCATTTACAAACACATTAAAAAACAGGTCTCGAACCACTTTTAATCTGAATGAACAAGACAGATGTAAGTGGGCTGAGAGGTTCAAAAATGCAAACATTTTATTGCCAAAGAAAGCAGTGCAAAAAAAAAAAAAAAGGTTTGAGATGTTCAATACATCTGGAATTTTCAAAGCATCTTGAGTATGTTTAGGCATGTATATTTACTGTCAAATATTTACTTTCTCTTGATGGCTCAAAAAACCAAAGCAGCTTGAATTAATTTCAACAATTCGGATTAACATGTGGGAAGTACTAGTAGTCTGTAAGAATAAAATCATGCTTCTTACTTCAATTTTAAAGCTGATATTGTATTTGGGATGACAAAAAGAAATACATTCAATTAAATCTACACATACCAAATAGATATTTCTGCACTGAATACGTAATTTTTGAAATCTGCAAAACAATTTTCTGTTTGCTCTATGACTAATGCATGAGAAAAATAATTAACAAGTGGTATCATCCCTGGAGAATTTCATTTCTCTAAAAAAAAAAAAAGCATTAATCAACAGTAGGTCAATATTTGTGTATTAAAAAAACAAGACAAAACAGATTACCTTGACATTCTCCTAATCATACCTCTTTATTTAAGATTAGGTGGTGTGACAATTATGTAGTATAAGTGCCGGGCTTTCATGTCATTCAACAGCAATAGTAAACTTTTTTTTAACAATAAAATTTACTTCAAATATGTGTTCATCTGATTTAAGCAATTAATTTTTACAGATAAAACAAGTGCTATTACATACAACTATTTCGGATCATTACAACATTCTGTCAGCAGGGCTTGAGTCTCAACCTTCATATATTCAACAATCTAGGAGAAGCAATTCTTTATCCTCTACAGTGTCTAGCCAATACAGGAGTACACACCACTTTCTGTCTGCTTATTAGAGTAGGCAGCAAGGAAAAAAGACCTGGAGATACAAGCCAATTGTTTCACTTCTGAGTACAGAAAGGGAGTAAAATTAGATGATATAATCAAACCATGATAGTTTGGCACATTCAATTTAAACAGCAGAGTCCAGACAAGACTGTTTTGTCCAGTCAGATTGGATTTACTATGTTAAATACCTAGTAGGTTGTGGTCATAATTCTGCCTAATGTGCTGCAAGCAACTCTTATGATAAACTTACCTGTAAAATGTGAGGGTGATTCATCCTAACCTATAGTTAAAAATGAGACACTCACTCAGGCTTGTCTCTTTCTATACTAAATGGAGAGATACAGACATTTTCAAAGGTGACATTCCCCTTAATCTGTAAAAGGCATCAGAGATGCATCAAATGGAATGAGCCCTCTGGTGTGTCCATTCCTCTCTATCAACTACACAGGCTCCTTTAATGACTAACCTGAACTTACACATCTGTTTTTTTAAATTTTTTTTTAAACATTGAAATGTAGATTAAATTAACCTACCCAATAGGACCTCCCAGTGCCTTATAGCCTGAGGCAACAACAGAGAGGTGAACTGGATGAGATTATAAACAGCAACCAACAGAAGTGATGTTGGAGCATTTATAAAGTTTCCCCTCCACATGGATTCCCTGCTATCTAATAACACATAAGGTAATACTGCAGCCTTTGTTTCAACAAGGATACTTAATGATTCTTTCCCGTCTATCCCATTGCCTAGTTGACAAAACTTTTAGGAACTCAATTATCTTTGAGACTTCTGCCCCTTTGCTAAATTTGGTTGAAGTCAACTAAACTGCTTCAAAAATTGCCAGGACGCAAGAAAAAAAACCTCAGACTGCTTTATTTCTAATGATGTCCTTCTGCTTTACATACAGGTTTGAAAGCTCTTTTCAGAGATATGTAAAAAAATGTTATTCCCGCTTTACAGATGGATTAACAGGGCAGAGAGATGTGAAGTGACTTACCACCACCACGTAGCTGGTCAATGATAGGGTTGGGAACAGAATCCAAACTGATTCCCAGCTTTACTCTCAAGCTCACCAGCCCAAAAAAATAAGCATCAGTGAGATTTTGCCCATAAAATATCTACAAAAAGTGCTGCTCACTATGAAACAGAAATCCCTCCCTGTGTCATAAATCAAAATGAAAATTGTTGGGTACAGAGAATACATTTCCCTTCTGGTGAAACAAGAGCCAAAGCTTTGTATTAATCATATGTATATGATTAATATACATTAATTATATATATTAATATATGTACTATTATATTAATATATTAATACATAATATATTTATTATAAATATATCATATACATTAATATGTGTATATACACATGTAAGTATATATAATCATATATTATTAATATAGATAGAACATACTAATATATTATATTAATCATATACATATATGTCGTTACATATATGTAACTACACATGCCTACACAAGTAACGTCCACACATGCATGCTGAGACATCAGACAGAGTAAGAGAGGCTAGCAGATAAAATTATTTAGTGCAAGTTAAAAACCTTTGCAATTTATTAGCAAGATATGTCATGCTAAATAGTATCCAGGGTATAGCATACTTCCAACACTGTAAGGGATTTCCATTCATTTTATCTTATTTTAGTATTATAATGGCTAAGTAAATGAATTTGATGGAGGAAAGCATCCAGCAAGCACTCTGGAGTCCTATTAAAAAAATCAGCATAAAACCCACCTTTAGTTTTTCATCTTCACTGCAATACTGTATTAATGACATGCAGCTGTTACATTTGCCTGGTAAATCCCTGCTGAATCATTCAATTAGAGTATCTTTTTACTTTTGCAGATATCTGTAGTGATGGATCATGTATAAACCAGCTTCCCTCTACAATAGTTACTCCCACTGTCATGTGGTTCTTAGATTTAGTTCCCATCTACAGACTCCATCGTGGGCCTGTTATTTCTTCGTTGGTATTACCAAAACCATATTTGAAGAGCAAAACATATTAATCACCTTTCTGTGAAAGGAGATTATAGTGAAGGAATGGCTGAGGCTATGAAAGAATATCCTATTGGACTGTTAGTATGGCAGAATTATTTACAGTCTCGTCATGTTTACTTTGCCCCACATGCTCAAACACAAATAATTAATTTTAAAAGTGAAATACAAATGTTGCTGTCTCTAACAGATCCCTGTTTTACACATATTTTTGCAATACTACAGCATATAATATACTATGAGTCACTAAACCCAATGAGTTGCAACAAAATTTAACTAAAGACAGACAGTATTATAATTACATAAAGACTGTATCAATTAAAGTGTATTATTAATTTGTTTACAAAACAATGGGTTTCATTATTCACTCAAACATCAGAGCAAATGACTAAAGCTTTAATTTTCATATTTATTTATGACTATATAATTACACATAAAGAAGGTGATTTAGCCTCTTAATCTACCTAGCTTTTCAAATTTTAATTGCTTTTTAATTATAAAAACCATGACTGTCCCAAGAGTCCTTAATTGGATCTCGGCAAACTTTAATAACATAAAACTTTTCCTTACCTTATCAAGTTCTGGATCTTGAAAAGGAAATTTGCTTATAACTATTTTGTATTCCTCTTCATTTGCTACAGGAATAGGGCTGTAGTTGTCCGCTTCAAAAATATCCCTGGTGAATTAGTTAGTCAAGTAAAAAAAAGGACATGTAACTTATGTACAGTATTTCCCAGTGTTAAAACATGTAAATGAATACAATTTTTACTACCACACTTAGGTGTGCAGCTTCAAAAAGTTATGAGCTGCAATCATCAAAATTTCAGACATTCAAACTATTTTTAGATTAATTTGGAAGTACCTTGTATATGCTAACTCTTTATACTGTGTCTAATCACAGAGAAAAAATAGCTGAAAGCATTTTAATATGTATGACTCAAAGCATAATACAGCAAAGGAACTTTAGATCAATTAGTCTACTCCAGGGTAAACCATAATGAGATACTTAATTATGGTAGTCTACACTGTGCCTACACTAAAGCAGATATTCAGAGTGTCTCACTTAGGTACCACAGCTACATACAATTAATAGTGGCGATTCAGAGAACTTCAACTAAGCACATGTCCACAGCGTTAAGTACTCTCTGGACTTTTCTACCAGTCAAATGACTATACTAGGAGTCTAGAGAGCTTGAGAACCTTAAGTGGACCGTTTAATTTTAGAGTTTTCTGTAATACAATATAACATATTTTATGGTAAACAATTTCTGCACATTTAGACATCACACACTATCTGCAAACAGGCTTTGGAGTACAGTTCCAGGCTGCCATATTCCTGGGTTTACAATTTACTCAATCAAATGACTCCAAAGAATAGGTGGAAACAAAACTGCATTAAAAAACCATGAAGATGTACCAGTAATGTCAGTAGTCTGTCAAGGAGATAGGCTTATCAGCTAACTGTAAACATTAAGACAACCTAAATTAGGAACCTAATGCCCTCCTGCAATAGCGTAGAGTTATTAGGTGCCTAATGAAGAAAAACAGACATCTCTCTCCTGCATGTTTCTCCAATAATGTCCCTTTGGAGACCTTCCTTCTCTCCATTAACTACAAAAGCAGTACTCTATGGCTCTTCTCCTAAATATTAGTTACATGTGATTAATATCTTCGTCCTATCCAACCCGGAATTCATACACAATACTGAGTTAATCAATTCTTCCAAAATTATAACTCTATCAAAAAAATTTGAAGTCAGACAAAAACAATAAATGCAATACACAAGGCACAATTATTTTGAAATACTAACCTGAACAGTCCAGACCACTTTTTAAGAAGTGTTTCATTGTACTGGTCTCTTATCTCAAATAAAAGATCAAATAGTCGGTTCACAGGAAAACCATAGCCCTAAGGTATAAAAATGAAAAGGTTGGATAATTCAAGAAGTAATACACTCAATTCCTATCACATCATTTCACATCTCTGAGATGAGACTTATTATTCAATCTTGTCACTTCTATAAAACAAATTGTAGTACTTTAAACACATAACTACAATTAAAAGATTATATATTAAATTCTTACCAAATACTTTACCCTATGCTCTCAGTTTTCAAGCAGAAATTTGTCCCATTTCTCTGTAACATGTTAACTTCATATTTATGCATATAACTAATCTTTTTTAATCAGTCTGTTAAACATTGCAAGAATACTTGCCAATCACGTTCATTTGGTCTTTCAGCTAGAGAGTTAATGATAACTGGAACGCTATTCTTGCTAAAGATCAGACGTAAAGCATTTATAAAAGACAAAAACGTACACAAATTACAAAGCTAACATTAACTTTGCACAGATATGAATAACTAGATGCTAGCTGGATAGCCCAGAATGCATACATTAAATTGATAATACTGAAAAGGAAGAACCAAGGCAAGAAATACATATATTTTTTAAATATTATTGTGTAAGTTTGTTCTTGATTTGTATATATGATTCAGGAAACCCCAAAGCATTGCACTTACTCACCTAAAGGAAAAATTTGACTCTAGGAATTTCAGTTAAATTACTAATATAATATGTACCTGCAAAGTATCAGCAAATACTACAATGAGATTCTTCAGTTCCAGAACAAGGTCAGGATCACTGCAATATGACTGAAAGTGAGAAATTCTGATTTTGTTAAAAGGATTTAAAATATGGGACATACATTTTCAAAGAATATTAGCACAGAAGGTTAAACTCTCCAGCCTTATCCCTTTACCTGACTGACTGCCTTAGTAAAAAACAACTTAGACTCACTTGTCTTCACTTAGTCCAGCTACATAAAAGTATTTGTTAAATTTTTATATGAACTATCAGTAGTATAAACACTCAGAAAAAGTAAACTAAAATATGAGATTGAATAAATATCAGTATGTTGTACTGAGATTCAAAATCAGCAAATTACATTTATTTCAGTGGAACATAAGCACACATCAAAATGCTTGGCTAAATCAACATCAGAGAGGTTTCCACAGGACATTCTTTTGAACACTAAGCCTGGGTCTCACTAGTGCTAACTGTGCCACCTCAGACAGTCTCCCAGACATATGGTGAAAACACTATAAAATACTTTCTAAATAAATTCAAATTAATTACAAATTTGATGGTAAAAAGTGAAGACATTAAGTTATTTACTCTACTAAATGACTGAAATTTTATTTTCAGAGGTGTGGAGTCATACAACTAAGGCTTTCACCTCAGCTTCACTATTTGCAATACTGAATAAAGTAAAAACATATTTATATTAAAATAACTTAAAGCAGCATGAGAATATAGTATTGATTAGAGACTATATACACCTGTTTTACCTTTCTTTAATTTTTGCTCTTAGCTTACTTTATTAAAGTAAGGATTTGGTCTACAATACCTCATAAGACAACATACACTTATCTAAACATTAGTCTGTACTAGGATGATGGTAGAAAGAGATTGTGATTGGTTTTGATGGGAGTTATGCATTTTGAGAATAGTCATCAACTACATGACAAGACACCGAAGAGTTCTTTAGAGATTACATTACTTTTACTCCTTAAATTACCATATTCTTACATAGGTGTATAAATCCATATGCAGTGAATTAACTTGCAAAGTATTTAGCTTAAAAAAATGCTGAATATATCTCAATTTATTCCAATCCTCTAAAACAAATTTAAAAGTATGAGAACACCTCATGTACCACTGATCAGTAAAGGGCCTATGATAAAACTATAGTTGCAATCTGACCTTTTCGCCATTTTCCTCAGTATATATGAAATGTAAAATATTCCTCGAATTAAAGATTAATCACAATAAAAATAACATTGCATAAAGGAACTGCTTCTAGCAAACATTAAAAAGGGAAAGATAAAACTCTTCTATTTTTTCCCCAATAGTAAAAGCTGTACCAATAGTAGACTCTAAGTAATTTACTGTCAGCCAATCTGAGCGAACAATGGTATTCCACTGGTTTTCACAGAGGAAGAAGAAACAGCATGCAGCTAAATAGCTGCATCATTGGAGCTAAGGCAGAAATGTAACTTTAAGAGACACACTTTGAATGTACTGAAATACTCAGTTGATACAGAATTACATTCTAACATCTGTGAAGATTTTTCTAGTACCTTTACTTCAACATAAACATATTACTACTATAGCATTGAAGAGATAGCTCCAAGGGTTTTGCTGGTGGAGTTTATTTTGGAAACACAGCATTTGGAATGATAATTAGGAACTATTTCCTCGTGGTGCTTTCAGAGCTGAACTATTCAATCTGATCTAATGAAGAGGTCAGTTGAGACTAATGAGGAAGGATTGCAATAATAACAGCAGATTAACTCTGCATATTCTAAACTGCTGGACTAAGAGAAGGTTTGGAAGACCCAGTGAGTTGTAAATCAGTGGAGGATTATGCAAATAGCCCATGGCTGCGGATCACAGCCTGATACTGTTGGGAAAAACAAAAGCTTGGCGGGCTCCCTCCCAAATCTGAGCAATTTTTAGTCACAAGGAAAAGAAAACATGAGAGAGGTGTAATTTTTCACTTTGTTGCTATCCCAGCTTTAAATATAGAAAGCTCTGAAGTAAGAGGATTTAAACTGCAATACTGATAAGACTTCTCACTTACTGAATGTGTTCTAAGAACAGCAATGATCTTGGAAAGGGCCATGTTCCAGAGTTCATCAGTATACGTTCTAGTTACCAATCCTTGGGTCACATGTAAAATGTGGTCTTCTACTACAAAGAAACTAAAACAAAATAATGCTTAAATTATTAAGTTGTTTTCTAATATGAGAGCAAATTTTACCCTTTCACACACAAGCATAGTTAAATCCATCCCCACTCAAGCAGTGACACTTTCGTAGGTTTGGTGTTCTGCTTTGCCCAGCATGAAGTCAAAATGTGAAAAGTTTGTTTCACGCCAGCTGGAGCCCAGGCTGCTGGAGGTTCCTTGTGGGGCACCGTACTGGTAGGATCTGGATGCTCTTCCCCGCTCAGATCCAGCAACAACCACCCACATGATTTGTGCAGAAACTGAATCTTGCAGAAGAAAATTTTTGGACAATGGGAGAACAGAGGGTGAATTAAGAATCAATACAGTAAAACTGAAATAAATCTCCATTTAGAAAACTTACCCTACAATTTGACTGAAGTATCTTCTATAGCCTTCTACTGTTTCATGCTTTCAGTGAAAAAGAAAACAAGTTTAGGAATAAAAACACTACTAAGTATTAGGTACAACCCAAGTCAATGCAAAAACAAAAGTATTGGTTACCATGCTTGACTGCGGCTGCAGAACTAATCTTGCTTGTTTCCTTCTCTGTTTTCTGTAGTAATTTTCAAATATTTCTCCATCACCCTAAAACAAGACAAAAGTAGTTAAAACAAGAACATTGTCTCAGTATGAAAAAGACACTTCTTAAATTAAGGGTAGAATTCTTTTAAACTAAGCCACATTATTTGCATTTATTCCACACATAAACCTCCAGCTGACACCAGCAAAGTTTTGCATGCATGAAATATGCAGAAATTATATTTTTTTTTAAGTAGCCCACAGAACGTACTGTAAATAAAACTTTTCCTCATGTACCTACATTTTGTCAAACAGTATTATGCATTTTAAACTATATTTATGTTTTTAAACTACAGCTTTCAGAGTATATTAATATTTACAGACAAGGCATATTACTTATTACTTTGTAACTGAAACTCACTGTTTCCTAAAATGTTTGTCTAGGTTATTCAAGAAATTAACTGCATTGTAAACTTAAGTTACAAAAATGTTTCTGTGAATATATGATACACCTGAACACTGCCTGCATTAGCTTTGCCTGAGAAAAAAACACACGAGATTTATTTAATGTTTGCTTATTCTCTTTGGAACTGGTAAACATAATGACTGTGGATTTGGATTTTTCTCCTATCACCGTCCTCGAAGATACAACACCCTCTGTGCCTAATGATTACATTGTGAGGAATTCAAGTGACACCCTACCCATCTCATTAAGATGACCATTCAGTAGAAACCATCTGTCCATTTGAAATCAGTGCTACATTGACTCATCTACCTAATGAACGCAATGTAATTTGTATGCAAGCAGAATAAAGCAGCTTAGGATTTTTAAGGTTTGTTTTTACCCCATGAGCCCATTATTAGGCCAGTGCTATTTAGAATTCCATTACTTGGGCTTCCAAAAATCTTCAAATCAAGTTATTACAGAGATTGTATATTACTAAGTCAGCATTACTTACCCAACTCCTTTATAAGATACAATAAAGAAAGTTTAAATTTAGTATTTGAAGTTCATAATAAATATTTCATCATATTTAGAAATACTGTGAACCTAACAAAATCTAAAAAGTAAAAAAGAGACTTGGCTTAAAAACAAAACCCCACTTGAAACTGAGATACAAATTTACTAGAACAATTTCTGTTGCAGCAGAACTTTACCCAGTGTGCTATAATTCGTACTAACACATACTGATCAGACATACTAACCGTTCACCTCCAGCCCAAATATTCAATGCAGTTTTCAGATGTGCAAAGCCATTATTGAATTCTATTTCCAATGCCAAATCCCTACTCAGTCCTGACACAAACTTCTCAAGTGAAAAAGAGTAGCTGTTCCTCTCAAATCCACACCAAAAATGGAGATGTAAAATATCTCATGATTATTTATAGACCATGCTATCCTATGCAATCAAGATCAGCAATTCAGGCATAACAACTATTTTAAACAGATGTTCTAAAGCAATCAGCAGAATACGGCAACTACCCTCATTCACTCACTGAATAAGCAAAGGAAAGGCAAGATAAAATATATCGAAGAAATGCATGTTTTGTGCAGCTTCCAAAAGTTCATGAGTTTATATCAATAGAAATAATAAATCAATTCAGGCTGGGTTATAAATTCTAGGGATATTGCTTATATAGCAAGTGTTGTTTCATACCATAGTTACATTTATTTTATACTGCTATATAGCATTTAGTTAAAAGGTAACATTACATGCCAAAGAGATCAAGGGTGTTTTCAGCAGAATTTAAATATACAGCATCTCACATAATATAGGGGCTAAAAAAAGCTCTTTATATATATTGCCCAGAAGTTTCTAGTCTAAAGAAAGGTTACTCATCAATAAATACAGTCTATGTTTGGTACGCACTTATCTTGCAATCAGCAGGTTGCAATCACAAGCTATGTAGTATTCTGAGGTATGCAAAATCCTGCTTTCTTCTTCAATATGAAGAAGCAGAGTAGAAAATGTTTGTCCTGCATAAAAATAGAATATTTTCTACAGCTTTGTAGCAGAGAGAGAATTCACTAAGAAGGTGACATTTGCTGTGAGATAAGTCCTTGATATAGAAATGTAATGAATAGCCACCTGGTATCAACTGTCCTCCTTTGCTGTCATCATGAAGTTATCTAAATTCCAAAAAAGATGGTTTACAACAGGAGGTAAACAAGAAGGACTCCAAGAAGTGGTTAATGCACAACTCTTGATAATGCTACCATGGCTTCTTAATTAGATGATGTTGGCAGGAAAGACTGAAGCACTCTTCTGAAGATATCAACAACCCTTTTTGCTAAGGGGCTAAGGGCCTTTGGTATCAAAGAGCACTCCAAGTTGTTTTCTGTTTCCAGTAAATTTGGAAGCTGTCAAACTTTCTGTGCAAACCCAAAGAGCATATCCTTGGATCAGGGATCCAACATCAGGATCCTTGTCAGAGTGAAAAACATAATCACATATTACTTTTAAATGCCATCTATCAATTTTACTTCCTGTTCTTTTATTATACTAAAGGAACAATAAGCAGATGTTGTCAACTGGTGTATTTAACTTTACATATTCTTTTTCATATGCTGTTTCACATACTTCCTCTGTAAAAAGAAATGGTCTACTCTTTTTTAATAGTTCTGGCAGCCTGTCTTTCTGTCCCTCCTGTTCTTTTCATTGGGATTAATAATTACTGATGTAATTACTGACACTTTTGTTTCAATTCCTTCTTTAAAAAAAAAAAGTAACAGTGAAATAACACTTTAAACATTATTTCAAGATATAAGCTTTCATGTTACACAGCTGCAAGGATTCCACAGAAAGAAGATAACCCAGCCTGAATGCTTGAAGCCAGGTCCAGCTGAGATTGTAGGATTAGCAATATTTAAAAGTACTTAATCTATATGCCCCTGATACTTATTCTGTAAGTAATCTGACTGCAAAAGTAACTGAGACATAGGAAAGGTGAGAAAATAATAAATAATTTGTTACCAAGTTTCCCCCAAAAAGTTTTCATCCTTGATAGCTTGTGCATTTTATCTCTCTTAGAGCAGCTCAAACAGGCTACTGTGTCTCTGCCATTGGATCCAATCTTATCTGCCTGAGCACAATCTGCCACAATCTCCAGTTTTTGCTTGCTATTTTGCTCTACTGTTCTGATTTCCACAAGATTCATACTGAATATTCCTATGTTTTGTAACATTGATCGTATCCCTCCAAACACTTGGGTAACATGGAACACTTGGGGGAACTGCACAAGTGCCAATACCACTATTGAGGGAGACATGCATATTTTACATATATTCGTAAGAACACTTATGTAATTAATGTCTTGCTGTGTGTCCTTTATTATGCATATAAAATAACCCATGCAGTTGTGCCCTGAGTGCCCATACGCTACACATCTCAGCTGGTTCATCGAGAACTACTGCTACTAGAAGCAATATGTTTGCTTGGGAACTATTAGAGTATGAAAAATACGAAAATGAACATTCAGCTTCAAGAATCATAGAATCGTCAAGGTTGGAAAAGACCCTTAAGATCATCGAGTCCAACCGTCAACCTATCACTGCCAAGTCCATCTATACCATGTCTTCAAGCACCACATCTATCTGTTCTTTAAGTACCTCCAGGGATGGAGACTCAACCACTT